AAATTAAGACACAATAACTGTTACTTTAGAAAGGAAAATTTTATCCAAACTATGAATTGGACAATAAAATACATCTAGGAAACATGTATTTGTTTATCACAGATAATATTACTCATCTCTTTAAGTCTAAGATATCTAAAGCATGAAGAATAGAAATCAATCTCCAAATTGCCTCAACATTCCCATTGACTGTTTTCTGAAGTAAAACATGTTTGAATTCCAGGTGTATTAATTTCCAATCAATACTGTGAACTTAAAGTTGATGTCTACTGTATATATACATTATTCAAAAGTGATCTGAATCCATATTTTATAATTAGAATATAGCTGATATAATGCTTCAATGGGACCTTAACAGGTTTTACTTTTATAGTGTTAGCCTTTTTACTTAAAGTTGACAAAAGCTGGTAGGAAGTAAGTAACTAGATAATCACCATGGATAGATCATTTCAGCAGGTCTAAAACAGATTTCATAAACGTTATTGGCAAACACTCATGAGTCTAAACTTCTCTAAATAACCACTTATTATAATTCAAAGGGCATAATTACTCAAATACACTTGGTTACATAGGTAAGTAGACAGCAAATGTCAAATGTAAAGCTAAAAACATAAATAATAGCAAAAGACAATTAAGATAATCCCTACTAATAAACTCTGCACTGCTCAGGGAGAGGAAAGAATGGTGGAATAGCCTGCCCTTCCAGACATCTCAGTAATCATATGACCTATACTGAGCTCTGTCTTATGCCTGTAGGTCTTTCTGGGGGACAATATCTATAATTCATAACTCGAACACTACTGCTACCTACTGCTTTAAAGCCTTTGAGCTCATTCTTGGTTTATTAGTCTCTGGGCTAATCTTTTAGACTCTATTTAGTCTGTTGCAAAAAATTTGGAAACTTTGCAAGTAGTATTTCTAAAGCATCTATTTTATCCAGAATATAGCTCAAGGTTTTTACACAGGGATCAAGATCTACCTCAAACCAACCTCTTCTCATGGTCGGACCTTATCTATGCCTTGATTCAACAAGAACTGTCAGTTTGGGGCAGTCTATTTACTATGCTACAACCTCCCCCCAAAATGGTTCATTCTCTTTGTACATTGTTTTTCTTCTTAACACCAATACCAGCCCATCCATACTCCAGGAATGCCTTTGTTAAGCCCACCTTTTTCTCCTCTCTCCCACAAGTCTCACTATAAAATGTAATGTTTTAACTATTGGATTCTATAGCCTTTAACCTTCCTGGCTTATCTCAACATAAATACATCCTCCTGTTGGATTCTATATTTCTGGAGGCTGGGCTATGACAAACTCATTTTCCATGATGAACTCACATTTTCCCACTTGGTGTTCCAGAGTACATCTCAAGTACATCTGCTCATTATTTCTGATAAAAAAGAAGTTGACTGGTCAGGATTATGTAAATACAAGCACCAGTTCAAACACCGCTGGATTCGCAATGTTCTCTAGTGCTAAAGGTTAAAACTGAATAATGCATATCTGTGGCCCATAATTTAGGATTATCTGTAGCTGATCTCTTCAGTTACATCTAGGCTGCCAGATAAACTTGTGTTTTTACTGTAAGTTAATGCTGATTTATAAAACATTAACTGACTTTAAAGGAGGAGCTTTGTGTACAATGTAGATGCATAATTCTGATACTAAAACAAAATGGTATATAGATATTATAAAGAGTCTTTCACCAAAAGAGGTCAGACGAAGGAAATAAAACCTTTAATGTTTTGAGAGCATGTTTTTGAGAATTTTAAATTAAAAAATTACCACAGACCTAAGAATAAGAGCACTCAGGAAGGAGCTGGGGCTTCTCACCATGAGTCATGCAAAGCAATCAATTCTCTGTGTTTTTCCTTTTTCAATTTGGTTTAGTGAAATTGTACTGTACAACCCAAAAGCTACAACTCTTGTTGCATAGGTCCTGCTTCACCTTGGTCTTAACCATCCAGCAGAAAAGTATAAAAATGAAGTATAAGAAGTAAAGCCATGGTGTTATGATGAGCTGTAGGGGACTCAGGCCAACAGTTACTGACATTGCCAGTGAAGCAGAAGACCCAATACTATTATGTACTACTGGACTCTTTTAGAATATTTTGCTGAGTTAACACACCTATAATATTCAAATGATGGAAGTAAACAAAACAAGGGGATACAGATGAATGCTCATTTTGTATCTGTGTATCCAAAATGACTAGGATAGATATATAGTCACATTCTCTTAATGAATAGAGGAATTCATTCTAATAGTGTTTGTAAATAGGATATCACGTCCCCATCTTGTACAGCAATTAACCACTAGGAAGAATGTATGCAATGTGTTAATTATTGAAACTGTCCTACCAATTTGGTTTGAAAATATCTCATTGCTATTTGTTTCTCAATAAAATTATGGGAACAAAATACCAACAAATTATAAAATGCAAGAAAACTGAAACAACTTAAAGGGACAGTAAAAAAAAAAAAAGAAAAAAATTGTACTGTACAAGGGTGGAATTCTAAGTGAACTTCTCACTGAAGATTTCCATGTTCTCTTAGTCTGCAGAGGTAAAGTCTGGCAAGACAATACATCTTCAGGGGTGCATTTTTAGCAAGAGTGTGAATCTGATGTAGACTTTGAAAGTTTGGTTTGAAAATCTAGGGCAGATAAAAGCCTGGTTTGAAAATCTAGGCAGACCACAATCTCTTTAGTTCTTTAGCTTTTCTTTTATAATTTCATGGGCTGATGTATGATAAATTTTGTTAAATTTAACAAAAATCAGAACTTAATAATCTTCTAATAGAATAGCAGCATATTGTTTTGGAAAAAGAGGGTAAATACAACTAGAGAAAACCTTCCTAAAGAGATGATGCCTTAAGCCGGAGTTTCAAGAAGAGTGTGGCCAAATTGCCATTGGAGGCACCTTATGGATAAAGCTGTGGCAGAATGGGATAGAAACAAAAGGTAACTCTGAGAACATCAGGACCATAGATTGAAAGAGGATAGTGGGCCTAAGTCATAAGCCGCCACAATTGTCACTCTAAAGAGTTCAAGAAGGGAAATCACTAGTGTTCTGTCTGAGGAGGCATGTAAATAAGTGAACTCACTTAGGTGAGGAAGATTCTAGAAGTGAGATGCAGATTAAATTTTATTCAGGCAAATATGAGGCACAGAGAGGCTGAAACAGCAGTAAGGGCCAATGAGAGAAACAGAGAGAGAGAGAAACAGAGAGAGAGAGAGAGAGAGAGAGAGAGAGAGAGAGAGAGACAGACAGAGAGAGAGAGAGACAGAGAGAGAGAGAGAGA